TTTTTTTTTTTTTTTTCTTTCTTTTCTTTTTGCATGGTAGTTCCTGGACCTTTCCTTCAACAGCCTGACTGCGGAGGCCATCTGTGATCTGGGGATTCTGCCACATCTCCGTGTCCTGCTCCTCACAGGAAATGGGCTCACCTCCCTTCCTCCCAATTTGGCTGTCACTGAGCAGTAAGTTCTACATCCCTGAGTCCATCCCATGTGTTTTCGCGTGAGCCTTTGGGTATGCAAGTACCTAAGGAAATAGCCTAAAGCAGCTTGGACGTGCTGCAAAGACAGGCTGTGTGTGCTCAGAGCAGGGAGAAGACCACCTCCTGAAGGGCCCAGGAAGGGCAGCCATGGGAGCAGGGCCACAAAGGATGGGGAGCCCTCAAGTGAGCATCCTACTTTCCTCTGTGTTATTAGGAGACACCCAGGTACCTGGCCAATCATAACCCTGCCTCTGATTGGTCATTTGTAAATTGTGGATATTGCTCTTGCGCGACTATTCCGCCTTCACAAAACCTCATGACTGCTTTAGTCTGTGTCTGTTCCTCCCTTCTGTAAGCATCTGTTTAATTTAATGTTTCCCCAGTTAGTTTAGGTACTTAGTGTATTGACTGTGACTTATTTCATGTGTGTGTGTGTCTGTGTGTGTTTTTAAAATATCCCCCTAAGTAGACTGTGAGCTCCTTGAAGGCAGGGGCTCTGTCTTACTCATCTTTGATCTGCAGCACCTAGATTAGGATCCAGTGCTTTGCACTCAGGAGGTACTAATGAATGTTAACCAACTTAGGGATGATGATGGTAAAAGTCGTGGTGATGAGGTTTATTGCAGTGATGGCAGGTGTGATGGAGGTGATAGTGATGATGGTAGTTGGTGGTTGCTTAGTTGTTCAAGGGAACTGGGGTAACAGTGATCATCATGTGAGGGATTTCATTAGTCAGGACTCTTCTGATTGAAATCCAGTTCAAACTAGCTTATACAAAAAAGGAAGTTACTGGCTCAGGTATCTGACAAGTCCTGAGGTGGATCTGCAGGATTCACTTATGGCTGGATAGAGGTGCAGAGGGTGTTGTCAGGGCTCTGTGGCACCTCTGTCTATTTCTTAGCCATGTGTACAACCTCTGTGTCGCTTGCTCTCTCACACACATGCACACACCTCAGTGCTAACTTTATTCTTAGGCAGGCTTTCTTTCTCCATGACAGACAAATGTATCAGGTCTAGTCAGGAATGCAGAAACTACTCAATATGTAGTGCAAATAGATGGGAGTTTTATCCCCTCCCAGCCCCACTCCAGATTATTTTTAAGAATCTCATGATATAATTTCTTCTTTAAATATTCCAGTAGGTACCTCTAAAATATAAGGATTGTTTTAAAAATCATAACTGGAGTACCTTTCTTTTATCTAAAATATTACCTATAATAAATAGAGGGAATTGGTTACATGGATGTTGAAAGGGCCAGAAGGGCAAAAGGGAGAAGAAAGGTATGGGAAGAGCAAAAAAGGAGGGTTGACACTCAACGATCAGAAGCTGTTAACTGGAGCTCACAAGCCTGCACCTGCTGCTGAGCTTTTAGAGAGGTCGTTGCTGTAATTCTAGACCTGCTAAAGATGTGCTGCCTCCACCAGGGCTGGAACCTCAGCCAGCATAGCTGCCGTTGCCGCTGTCAGTACTGCCTTTGCTGCATAGCTCTTGCTGCTGCTCTATCACTGTTGCTGTTGCTGCCAGAAATGCTATCAGAAACCAAAAGCTGCAAGAGAGTTGCTTCTTTCCCTCCTCTGGCTTTCCAGTCTCTTACCAATCCCTTCCAGTTACAGTCCCTAGCTATAAGCCAGCTGGAAAGGCAGTCTGGGAAGTGTAGTTTGGAGGCATGACTTCAGTCCCCCGCAGTATATAGTAGAGCACAAAGGGAAGGAGTGAACGCTAAGAGCAAATAGGCAAATGACTGGCACCATCTAACCCCTGGAAACTCAACATCTGCTCTTCCTTCTCTCCATATTTGATTTCTGTACAACAATAGCAACTACAACATGGTTTTGTCTAACGTGAAAGAACTTCTCCACCTATGACGATGGCACTTCCATCCTCTTCCATAAAGGGATGAGACATAATTCCATTAGTCACTGTATACATCTCTAGATGATATTTTCTCTTCTAAAGCAGTTACAATCCCACCTGGACATTTTATAACCTCAAAAGCTGTGAAGTCAATCTCCACACACAATTTATACATACAGACACACACACACACATAAAACAAGCAAGGATGAAATTGTACATGAAAATATACATAGTTGCTACAATCATCTTTTCTTAACTGGTCAAGAGGTCATAGTGAATATTTATAAATCCTTCTTCCATTTCCCGTTTAATGTTGCCTTTGCCCTCACCCAGTACCTTGGGTGGTCAAGGTTCTTTAACTGGCTTGGTGTGCTAAACCTTGGTGTGCTAAACCTGTTCCTAAAGAATAATGTTAGGGATTGAATTGTGTCGCTCAAAAAGTTATGGTGAAGTCCTAACTCCTAGTACCTGTGAACATGATCTTGTTTGGAAATAGGGTCTTTGAAGACGTTATCAGTTAAGAGGGCATACTGGAGTAGGGTGCATTCTAATCCAGTCTGAGTGATGTCCTTATAAAAGAGGAGAAGGGACACAGAGATACAAACAGAGGGAAGAATATCATGTGATGGGGGAGTTATGCTGTAGCTGCAAGCCAAGGAACACCTGAGGCTACCAGAAGCTAGGAGAGAGGCATGGAACAGATTTTCCTTCAGAGCCCCAGAAAGAATCAACATGGCTGACACCCTGATTTTGGACTCCTAGCCTACAAAACTGTGAGATCCTGAATTTCTTTTATTATAAGCCACCCAATTTGTGATACATTGTTATGGCAGCCTTAATAAACTAACACAAGTAACTTGACTTTTAACACTATTTTACATTTTTCTCCTTTTGAACTTTTTATAAATAAAATCATATAGTATGTATTATTTTGTCTGACTTTTTTATTCAACATTGTATGTGATATTTATCCATGTTGTTACATATGGCAGAAGTTCATTTTCATTCCTGAATAATATCGTGTTGTATGAATATACTACCATTATTTATCTATTCTATTTATGACATTGGAGTCATTTCGTTTCTGTCTGTATGAAAAATGCTGTTGTAACATTCTTTCACATGTTTCTTGGTACACATTAGAAGTATTTCTGTTTGGTATATACCTAGGAGTGGAATTTCTTGGTCATATGGTATGTTCATCTTTAGTAGATAATGCTAAATAGTTTTCCAAAATGCTTGTACCAATTTGCATTCCTGCCAGCAGTGGATGAAAGCTCTTGTTACTCCACATTTTCACCAGCACTTGATATTATCAGTCTCTGTAAATATTAGCTACTCAGCTACTCTGGTGGGTGTGTATTTGTGTATCACTGTGGTTTTAATTTGCATTTACCTGATTACTAATACAATTGAGTACAATTTTTTATGTGTTTATAGGTCATTTGGCTATCCTCTTTGGTAAAGTGCCTGTTCAAGTCTTTTCCCCAATTTTTAATTGACTTGCCTGGTTTTTGTTTGTTTTTATTGGTAGGAGTCCTTTATATATGCTGGATTCGGCCTTTCATTGGTTACATATGTTGCAAATAGACCTTCATCCAGACTGTGGTTTGCCCTTGTACTTTCTTCATAGTGGCTTTTGATGAACAGATATTCTGATTAAATCACTGTCCTGCAACTTTTCAGTGTCCTAAAGATAAAATCTGTTAACATTGCTCACAAAGCTTTTCATGACCTGAGTCTGTCTACTGCTTTATTATCCTCCTTTCTCTTCAGTTTTTTCTCTTGCATGATATACTTTTATCTATTCTGAACTATTTGCATCTCTCATTTGTAGGCCTTGGATCACAGTATTATCTCTCTCTGGGTGAGCGAGAGGAATCATATTTGATTCACTGCATTTTTAGATTGCTCTGTTACTTATTTTAAGCTTAAATTTGATACTTTGACTTTCCCATTAGGCCTATTCCCTCTCCCTCTTGGACCACACGAGTCGGCTCTCTCAGGCTTGACCAGTATACAGTGGAGAGGGATTGTTACCTCCTTTTTTCTGATCACTGTACTCCTAATAATGCCATCTGAAAGAGCACTAGCTTTTTATCAGCCAAATCATAAGTCCTCTTTTTATGCAAGCAAGCTGTTAAGCCATGTCTCCCTCATCCTGTGTTTGCACAGTGGGTTTTCTGTATCTTAGCATGGAAGCTGATCAAACATTTGAACTGACATTTAGAGTTTGTTAAATTTGCTGCAGCCCTTGGTTTAGTCTGTTGAGCATTGTTTTTAGCCTAATCCAAAGTCTTACAATGTAAAGCTAAAAGAGACCCCCTCTGCCATTCAGATAGAGAAACTATCAGAGATGCTCAACACCAGCCAGAAATTACACAGCAAGCAAAGTAGCAGCAGCCCTGGGACCAGAGCCCAGGCCTGATCCCTATTCCCATGCTTTTTCTAATATGACACATGAATTCCCATTCCTGAATCCAACTACTGGGGCATGCTCTCGACTTCTAAAGAAATTAAGTAAAACCTGTCACGTTTTATAAAGTGTAAATTCCTTTTGCCAAGAGAAGGTATCATAAAAATAGCACCTCTCTGAACAGGTGGAAACCTGGGCTCCTCCACTGCTGACAGACTCCTGCCACTTCAAAGAGCTCTTCCCCTAAAACCGCCCGTGGAAAGAGCTCAGTGGGAGAGCCTGATGCTCTGCTATGAAGCCTTACATCTTGTCCTCCTCACCTACCTATTAACTGCCCCCCTATTTTAAGACATCTATTTTAGAGACAAAAGGAAACTTTTACATGTTATAATTAGGATGGAACTTTAAAAAGACAAGCAGTGTAACTTGTCACAAGAGACAGAAACAGAGCCAGCTTCTCCATTATGGGGCTCAAGAGGAATTTTCTGAAGGCTTATTTCTTAGCTGTTTCATATTTCACTGGAGTTTAAAAAAAAAAAAAGATTGGCCAATTAATTATAAATCATCAGAGCTGCTGTGCACCCTCCTGTAATTGATCTCAGATAGAGATTAAAATTTCAGTGTATGAAAGTTGGTCTTTCCAGGAAAAGGAGAAGAGTCATCTGTAACCTTGAAATACTGTGACCTAAAGGCTTCCTTCCTTCTCTGTTGACTGTCTCTCATCTTTGGTCTTCAACCCTATCCCCCTACACTGCTGCCAGGGCTCTTTCTGACACCATTTCTAAGCTGTCTCTTTTTTAGTCAGAACTGTCATGGTTACAACCTACAGAAGTTCACCAGTGTTAGAATATGCACAAAAGGGGAATTTTTTATAAGGGTATTGGGGAGTCTCACAGCCATGCCTTAGAGACATACTGTGGGGCAGCCTGAATGCTCTGTTTCTCAGCTTCCAGATCTGCTCCTCTGTGTGACTCGCCACATTTTTCTTTACAGGTGAGCTGCCTGGGCGGCTCTCTGAGCAACTTGATGGGAAACATGGCTGCTCAAGATTTCTAAATATATTACAGATCCAGCCAGAAAGAGATGATTTTTCTTCCTGTTACTTTCTCTCCCTCACAGTGGTTAAGAACAAGGCAAATTCCCTCTCCATTCTTGATGGTTTAGCTGAAACATTGTCTTTCCTAAATCTGCCCCACCTCCACCCCAGAGTGGGTGACTCCCATCAAGCTTTGCACCTGTCTCTGTTATAGTATTTGTTCCTCTGCATGCCATGTGTACACCTCCTCCACAAGACTGTAAGCACCTTGAGGGTAAGGATATGTTCTTGTATTCCCAGTACCTGGCTCCGTAAATGTAAGTTAAAGAAATTTATGAGTATGTGAATGAATCACTGAGTGAATGACTACCCTCTCTAAATTCAACTTTGAAATATTCCTGACTTCAGGGGTACTGTAACAGATTTCGATTACATACAGTGATGATCTTTGTGTACCTTGATGGAATGTTGACTGCAATGCTTGGCAAGGGAAGTTGTTGATTCTACTCTTAAGGCTTGTTTTGATAACACTCCATTTATTTATTCAACAAATTGGTGGAAAGGAAGAGAAAAAAGACCAAATAAGAGGTTGTGACAACAGTTCAAATAGGCAGTCATGAGACTTGAATGGAAAAATTGACCATGGGGATTCAAGAGATATTTCTAAGAGAGAATCGACAGGACATGGATGGTAGGGAACTGAGGAAGAGAAGCAGATTTGGGGAAAAGATGATGAATTCAATTTTGAACACATGCATTTGAGATATCCATGGAGCATCCAAGTGAGGCTGTCTAGGAGGCAGCTGGATCTAGAGGTGTGAAGCTCAGATGAGAGGGCTGGTCTCATGGATTGAGTTTTGTTCCCCAAAAATACGTGTCAACTTGGCTAGGCCCTGATTCCCGGTATTATGTGGTTGTCCACAATTTTGTGATGTGATGTGATTATTCCATGTGTTGTAAATCCTAACCTGTATGCTATTAATGACGCAGGATTATAGGTAATTATGTTAATGAGGCAGGACTCAATCTAATGATTAGGTTGTATCTTGAGTCAATCTCTTTTGAGCTATAAAAGAGAGAATCGAGCAGAGAGGAGAGGGACCTCATACCACCAAGAAAGAAGGGCCAGGAGTGGAGAATGTCCTTTGGATCTGGGGTCCTTGCACTGAGAAGCTCCTAGACCAGGGGACGATTGATGACAAGGACATTCTCCCAGAACCGACAGAGAGAGAAAGCCTCCCCCTGGAGCTAGCACCCTAAATTCGGACTTCTAGCCTCCAAAACTGTAAGAGAATAAACTTCTATTTGTCAAAGCCATTGGCTTGTAGTATTTCTGTTATAGCAGCACTAGATAGCTAAGACAGCTGGAGATTAAAACGAGGGATATCAGCAGAAAATCCATAGAAGAGGGTGATGATATTGCTTAGAGAGAGTAGCTAGAATAAGAAGAAATGAGGTCTAGGTCAGAAATCTGGGAACATTAACGTTTTAAGGCACAGGCCAAGGAAAAGGGACTGGAAATAGACTGAGGGAGAGTGAAGTCTAGGAAAGAGGATGCTTTAAAGAGGAGGGAGTAGTCCACTATGTGAAGACAGGTCACCTGGGTAAGAGCAGTTTCTGAAGAGCAGTGGGAGCAGAAGCCAAAGTGCCGTGGGTTGAAGGTTGACTGTGTTTGTCAGAAACCAGTCCGAGCACCTTTCAGGCACTTGAGGGATGCAGAAATAACAGTAACCTTGGGAGACAAAACCGGAGCCCTGGTGGTGCAGTGGTTAAGAGCTCAGCTGCTAACCAAAAGGTCCGCGGTTTGAATCCACCAGCAGCTCCTTGGAAACCGTATGGAGCAGTTCTACTTTGTCCTTAGAGGGTCGCTATGAGGTGGAATCGATTCAATGGCGCTGGGTTTATTTTTGAGGGGGGAGCCAAAAACTAAACATGCAAGGACCATACAACTAGCAATTGCCCTCCTGGGCATTTAGCCCAAAGAAAAACTGATGTTCATGCAGAAACCTGTACATGAATGTTCACAGCAGCTTATCTGTAATAGCTAAAAATTGGAATCAGCCCACATGCTCTTCAACAGGGAGTAGTTACACTGTGGTAGATCCATACCATGGAATACTACAGAGTAATAAAAAGGAAGGAAATACAATACACACAACAACTTGGGTGAATCTCCAGGAAATTATGCTGAGAGGAAAAAAAAAAGCCAATCCCAAAAGGTTACATACTATATGATTCCATTTGTATAACAATTTTGAAATATCAAAATTTTAGAAATGGAGGGTAAATGAGTAATTGCCAGGGATTGGGAGGGTCAGAAGGGAGGTTGTTGTGGTTATAAAAGGGCAACATGAAGGATTTTTGTGGTGTAGGGACTGTTCAGTATCTTGACTGTGGTGGTGGATACATGAACCTACGTGGGTCATAAATTATATAGAACTTAATACACAGACACAGGCACAAGTAAAACTAGGGAAATCTGAGTAAGATAGGTGGGTTGCATCAATGTCAGTACCTTGGTTGTGATATTATAGTATAGTTTTGTAAAATGTTACCATTGGGGAAAGCTGGGAAAAAATGTACTCTCTGTGTTATTTCTTACAACTGCATGGGAATCTACAATTATGAAGTGAAAAAACAAAACAAGCCAAAAAATAATAGAAGCAAGCAGGAGCAGACCGCAGCCCCACTCCCAGTCATGCTCTCTGAGCTCCTTTTGCTACTTCAGCCAAGCCTGCGTCTTTGATCCCCTTTCCCTTTCTGGCTCCTGCTTCTGAAGGTCCCCAGCCCTAGGGTTATATCACCCTTCCTGCTCGGACTGTTAGGGCTCCCTCTCCTAGCTTGTGAATTCACTGCCTACCTTCATCAGGCTCTCTCTGGCCCAGGCAGCAACTGCCCCCATCATTTCCTCACCCTTTAATCCGCTTGGCTCTTGAAGATGTGAATGTGAGCGGGAGGTAGTGTGGGCCAGCAGAAAGGGCCTGGAGTTAGGCAGACCTGGGTTCTGATTTGAGTTCTACCACTTTTTTAGGTATGAGGCCTTAGGCAAGTCACTCTGAGCTTGAACTTCCCATCTGCAAAAATGGAGATAAATAATACCTCTCCTCCTCAGTACCGACCTGAGAGGTGACACACGTAAAACACCTAACAATGCCAGGAATGCCATCGGTGCTGAAGACATGTTTCCCTTCCTCTTGTTGTTTATGTGTTTGGTTTATATGTGTGTGTGTGTTCATTTTGGTGTGTGGAGGAGATGAAATGTGAAATGTTGAAGGAGGAATGAAAATGTGATTTGAGTCGTCTGCCACCATGTAGTTCAATACACTTACCTAGGTCTCATCCACCTGGGGACACAAATGAGGTTGCGTGAACGGTAATAACTAACATGCCACCACCTCCTGCCCCACCTGTGTGATTCATGACCCCAACTCCTCAAATCTCACTCTCAGGTGTCCTGGGAATCCTCAGAGTTTGAGCCTAAGAAGAGGCTCCTCAGCCTCCCACTGATGTGTGCATTTTATGGAGTCATCTTAGAGGAGAGCTTCTTTGCTGCCCAGGGATGGTCCTTAATCCACCCTCCGCCACTCCACATGATGGCAAAGCGGTGGTCCACGTCAAGGGCTCTATCTCTTGCTGCTCCCCTGGTTGCCATTCCTAGGGATGACATGGCATACCCAGGAGTCTGCCCTGAGCCAAAATTGTGCAGTGTTCTACCTGCAGAACGCTCCCTCTCAACTCGGCCATGCCTTGCTCAACCTGGTATTTGCTATGAGCACTACCAGTGCTTCCCCCTCCTGACCCCGTCCCATCAGCTTATGTGCTCAGTCTTTCTCCACGTGAGGGTTCAGACTTACGTACCTGGGACTGCAGCTGGAGCCACTACCCAAAACATACATCTCTATTCTCTTCATCTATTTCTCTCCCAAATACATCCATAAAACCTATTCTTTGCCTCCCCTCCCCCCTGCAGACCTATCCATGCAAATAGATCCCTGTGGCCCAGCTCCATCTAAATTCTAACAGCAGGCACTGTTAGGGCTCAATCTGAGAGACATTCCCCCCACCTACACATTACACAGACGAGAAAGGACACAGGTATAGGAGACTGTGTTGTGAGTGGAGTTTGAGGAAAGAGCCAGTCAGGGAGGGAATTACACCTTCTGTTCTCTTTTCTAAAGGCCCCTCTTGAGGACTAGAGAAGTTCCCAAGTTGATTAGGCTTCCTGATTGATTCCCTATCCTCCATTTCTTCCTGGGGAGAGTGGAGCTTGTCGCCTGCCCTTGCTCATTACCCAAGATCTTTGCACTCACAGGGAGGCATCTGTAACAACACTGACAAGCAAGAGATATATCCTGAGGTTTCCAGCGCTGGAGACACTGATGCTGGATGACAACAAGCTCTCCAACCCCAATTGCTTTGCCAGCCTGGCCGGGCTCAGGAGGTAAAGCCACAAGCCTTTCTGCAGGTCCTGTTTAACCCCCAGCCTTGCTCACACCCTGAGTGCTGCTCTGGAAGCCAAAAAGCCTGGGTTCAAATCCCAGCTCCACCACTTATCCCTGCTTTGTGGCTGTGGGCAAGTCACTTCTCCTCTCTGAGCTTTAGCTCATTCATAAAAGGACATGTCTGATCATGTGACTGGATTAGAAGCAACAAAGAGAAAGGAGGGTAGGAGCAGGTACACCTGGAGACAGGATCCTGACCCCGAGGGAGGAGACGGGGGAAAAAAAAAAAAAAAAGAATCTGAAAGAGAAATTTAATTGCTGTCCACATGAGGAAGCATTTAAAACCTTTTAAAAAGAGCTCTGTTTAGTTGGAGTAAAGAAAATGAAGGCGTTTAAATAGTTAACTTTAGATCCCTGGAAATTTTACTTTGGATTCAGCTACCATGTACTGGACACTACTTTGTGCCAGGTGCTGTACATATTACCTCATTTAATCTTCACAAGAACCTTGAGAGGTTGATATTATCATCCTTGTTTTAGAGATAGGGATTTGAGGCCCAGAGAGGATAAGTCACTGGCTCAAGGTCACACAAGAGGAGTAAGTGTCCAAGCCTAATTCCATGTTCTTTCCCCGAAGTTGCTGGGTATATGTCCCTGAGATATCATTATTGCTGTGATTCTGTATTCACTTTCCTTAATTGAAGACTGAAGAAGTTAAGCCTGGATCAAAACAGGATTTTCCGGATCCCGTACCTACAGCAGGTTCATCTCCGTGGCGGGTCAGGGGACTGGGCTGGAGGCAGGGGGAGTCCTCGGAAAGAGCACCAGTCCACTCTGCAGCCCAAGTCGTGGGTTTATGAGGCCTCAGACGAGCAACCGGACTATACTGTACTGCCCATGAAAAAGGATGTGGACCGGACAGGTGCGTGATGCCCCTTGTTCCAGAGACTCTAGACCCAGAGTGGGAACAAACTTCCGAGAGTTCATTCTGAAAATCTGTGGCTCCCTGGGGAGCTGCTGCATTTAAGCCGCTGGGCCTGGGGAGTTGGAGGTCTCACATGAACTATTTCAGTGATTTCCTAACTGGTTCTGTCAGTTAAGATGCTTTTGAAATCCAACTAAAAGTGGTTTAAAAACATTTTTTTTTTTTTTTTTAAATCTGAAATGACGAAAAACTCAGAAACTTTCCAGGGATGGTGCATAAATGCCATCAGGGGACTCAGTTTCCTCCCATCCTCTTCTCTGCCTTCCTGCTTGCTTGACCTTTTAGCCTAGATCCCATTGGGGTTTCAGGATGGCTAACACAGTTCCAAGAATCACATCCAGATGGCAACATTCAGAAATAGAAAAAGAAAGAAATGCCACCTTTATTATAAACCTAAATCCCTTTAATATATGAATATATTTCTGGATTATATATTCTGTTCCATTGATCTAGTGCCACCACCACACTGTTTTGTTTTTTACATTTACTTTAAATTGAGGAATAACTTACATAGAATAAAGCACAGAAATCTTGTCTAGAGTTTGAATTTTTACCACTATCCATATTACACTATAGAACAATGGTAGCATCCCATATGGTACCCTCCCAATGAGTACCTCCTCCAAGAATAACCACTATTCTGACCTCTACCACCATAGATTAGTTTTGTCTGATTTGAAATTCA